CACCCCGGACCTTAATCTTTGTAGTGCTAAATACGCAAGCTTCAGCGTAAAACTCCCTAATTAAAGACAAATTAAAAGAGCTTTTTACCTCGCAAAGCACTTGCCATCCTTGCCTGTTGATCACGTCCCGAATGAAACTGAATTCCTCAATACTTCTTCTATTGAACTCCTTATCTGGCAGCACCTTCTTATTTTTTATCTTTGCAAACTTCAACTGTGCGACTTCAGTGCTAAACCCATTAAACTGTTGTTGTGGCCTAGGAATGGGTTTAGTTTTTGAACTGCTGTGTGTGGCTCTCACCCGAGAAGGGCCAGCTGTTTCATCAGGCCTAACCGTGGCCATTCGGGGTGATTTTCTAGGCACAAAGGATGTGTGCCTCAACTGGATAGAAGGTGGGGTACGCCTTGGTCTCTTTTTGATAGGCTGATTATTCACAGCCTTTGAGCGGGTAGCAAAAATCCTTCCCAATCCCTTTCTTTTTCTAGTAGGAATTGGGGTCAAGTTCCTTACATCGGCTTCTAAATCAGCCTCACTGTGTGGGGTGTTAGTGGCTTCTTCCCTATCATGTAATTCAATATCATCCAGCCCAACAGATTCATCCTCACCAATGTGAGGTATGGGATCGGCCAAAACAGTGGCTTCGGGCATGTGTGCACAAGGCTGATCATACCAAGTCAAGAAATACATTTTTGATGGATTCAAAACAGTTGAGGGAGATTCAGGTTGCATAATATTTTCCTCCTCAGATGAGTCGGAGGTAGTCAATCCCTCAACAGGCACATTAGGGCTCGAAAATATGCTTACCTCGATACCCAATCTAGGGCTTGTGACTGCCGGCGGCTGATGATGGTGGCAGAGCAGCGGTGTCGTCTGCCGTAGGTGGTGGCGATGGAGGAGCGACTATGGATGGTGGAGGGGATGGCGCACAATCAGTCGAGGGCTGTGGAGGAGACGGTGGTCGGCGCACTGTTCGTCTAGCTCGCGGAGGGGATGAATCGGCGATGAGTGGAGTGACAATCGGAGGTCTAGGCGGCGATGGTGATGAGGGAGGAGACGACGAGGCACTATTTACAACAAGATCGATCATTTCGGGCTCCCCTATCTGTCGCAAAGCGGGGGTGCAGGCTCGCCGGCGGTTACTTCGCCGGACCGGCTGTGGTGGGTCGCGAACTGCCGCCCTCTTCATACGTGCCATAATCAAACAGTGGGTGAAGAGAGTGGAGTGGTGACAGTGAGTGAGAGTGGGATAAATGAGAGTGGTAAATCAAAATGAGGGGTGATGGTTTGAAGAGATAGTCGGCGGGTGATGCAAGGATGAGGCAGCTGGCTCTTTTGATTGACAAAGGTGGTTATGGGGAAGATGAAAGGTCATCTCTCCATCAAGTTACCTTCTAATCACATGCAATGACGGTTAAGGAAGTGTCAAAATTTGGTTATCTAGTGGTTAAACATTAATTGTGATGGAGTGGGTTAGTGGTGCATGGGGGACAAGATCTGAGAAATATGACTGACAAAAACTATTGTGATGCAGTGATGAAATCACTTGTACCATCATGTCTTCCTTACAAAGGTGATGTCAATCTTCACATGTGAACCTATGAATGCTGCAGCATTGGCAGAACATCAACTTCCTATGATAATTTCTTTGAAAACAACCTACATAAGAATAAACTAATAAAACATAACTGCTCTAAAACATAAATATAAAGAGGGGAAATATGTACAAACAAACTTGGACTTGAAAAAGTCCAAAAACACCTTCATTCCTAAGGTATAGCCCAATTCTCAGAGCAATGCTCTGGGAATGCTACAGTATCATGAAATACCTTGACTCGTTGCCCATTCACTTTAAACACCGTGTTGTCCTCCGGGTTAATGAGGTCAACCGCTCCATAAGGGTAAACTTTATGAATGACAAAGGGTCCGGACCACCTAGACTTGAGCTTTCTCGGGAATAGTTTCAACCTAGAGTTAAACAAGAGGACCTTTTACCCTTCTTTCAACTCCCGGTGTTGGATCCTATTATCATGTCATTTCTTTGTCTTTTCTTTATAAAGTTTGGCATTTTCATAAGACATTTGTCTTTGTTCTTCCATTTCACAAAGTTGAAACTTTCTTTTCTTTTCGGCTTCGTCCAAAGACATATTGAGCTCTTTGATAGCCCAATATGCTTTGTGCTCAAGTTCTAAAGGCGAATGGCAGGCTTTTTCATAGACTAGCTTATATGGAGACATACCGATTGGTGTTTTGAAAGCAGTTATGTATGCCCACAAAGCATCGTCTAATTTGAATGCTCAGTCCTTCCTATTGGGTTTGACCACTTTTTCCAAAATGCTTTTAATTTCCGTATTAGAGAGCTCTGCCAAACCATTAGTTTGTGGGTGATAAGTCGTGGCAATTATGTGGTTAACATTGTATTTTTCAATGACTCCTTTTAACAAATTATTCACAAAGTGGGTACCCTCATCACTAATTAGTGCCCTTGAGGTACCGAACCATGTGAAAATCTGTTTTTGAAGGAACTTAACCACAGTTTTTGCGTCATTTGACACATATGCCATAGCCTCCACCCATTTGGATACGTAGTCAACAGCCACAAGTATGTATTGGCAGTTATTTGATGGAGGGAAAGAACCCATGAAGTGTATTCCGCAAACATCAAATAATTCAACTTCAAGTATCTCATTTAATGGCATTTCAATCCTTTTGGAAATGGTGTCACTCCTTTGACATTCGTTGCACCTTTGTGCAAAATTGTAGGAATCTTTAAAAATGGTTGGCCAATAAAAACCGGACTGTAAAACTTTGGTTGCAGTTCTTTGGCCTCCAAAATGGCCTCCGTATGGTGCATGATGGCAATGCTGCAGGATTGTTGCCACTTCAGTTTCGGGCACGCATCTTCTCAAAATCAGATCTGCCCCAAGTCTAAACAAAAAGGGTCATCCCACAAGTAAGATTTAGCATCATGAAAGAATTTTTTTCAACATGTGGCCTGTGTAATCAGAGGGTTTTATTCCATAAGCCAAGAAATTAGCTAAATCCGCAAACCATGGTGTTTTTGGTTGGTCAATCAAGAGGATTCTTTCATCCGGAAAAGTATCACTAATGTCCATTCCTCCTTTATCGGGTTCTTCCAACCTAGACAAATGGTCCGCAACTTGATTCTCTACCCCCCTTTCTATCAAGTATCTCTAAGTCAAACTATTGCAATAAAAGCACCCATCTTATTCATCTAGGTTTTGCATCTTTCTTTGAAATTAGGTACTTGATGGCTGAGTGATCGGTATGCACAATTACCATTGTTCCCATCAAGTAGGACCTAAATCTCTCAAAAGCAAAAACTATGGCCAATAATTCATTCTCAGTTGTGGTGTAATTAATTTGTGCTTCATTCAAAATCTTACTTGCGTAGTAGATTGAATTAAACACCTTGTCTTTCATTTGTCCTAGTACAGCACCTACCGCCCAATCACTAGCGTCACACATGATCTCAAAAGGTTTGTTCCAATCCGGGGCAACTACTACTGGTGCGGTAACCAAAGCTTTTTTCAAAGTTTGGAATGCATTTCTGCATTCATCATTAAAATTGAAYTTTTGGTCATGTTGGAGGAGTAAACAAAGAGGTTTTGAAATTCTAGAAAAATCTGTGATAAACCTTCTATATAATCCAGCATGACCCAAAAAGCTTCTGATTCCCTTAACCGTGGTAGGTTAAGGTAGTTTTTCAATTACCTCAAACTTTGCTTTATCTACCTCAACCCCTCTTTTTGAAAATCAAGTGTCCAAGAACAATTCTTTCTTTGACCATGAAATGACATTTCTCCCAATTAAGGACCAGGTCTGTTTCCTCACACCTTTCCRAGCTCTTTTTCAAATTATTTAAACAATTGTCAAATGATGAACCATACACAGAAAAATCATCCATAAATATTTCAATAGATTTTTCAAGCATATCATAAAAGATGGACATCATACACCTTTGAAAGGTGGCTGGAGCATTACAAAGTCCAAATGGCATTCTTCTGAAAGCAAAGGTTTCATAGGGACAAGTAAAGGTGGTTTTCTCTTGGTCTTCCGGAGAAATGGCTATTTGATTGTACCCTGAATAACCATCCAAGAAACAATAAAACTCCTTTCCGGCTAGCCTATCCAACATTTGGTCAATGAAAGGTAGTGGAAAATGGTCTTTTTGGGTAGCCTTGTTTAGTCTCTTATAGTCCATGCATATTCTCCAACCGTAGACAACTCTAGTAGGGATAAGTTCATTTTTGTCATTTGTGATGACTGTGAACCCTCCCTTTTTTTGTAACACATTGGACCGAACTAACCCAACAACTACTGGCAATCTGGAAAATAATTTCGGCATCTAACCATTTCAAAATCTCCTTTTTGACTACCTCTTTCATGACGGTGTTTAGCTTTCGTTGGGGTTCTATGGAAGTGAAATTTTTATCTTCTATGATGATCTTGTGTTGACAAATAAAGGGACTAATCCCTTTAAGGTCAGCAATGGTCCATCCTAAGGCTTTCTTATGCAATTTCAACATATCCACAAGTTTCTTTTCTTGATGCAATTCTAGGGTAGATGAGATAATGACAGACAATTTGTCTTCTTCTCCTAGAAAAGCATATTTTAGATGGGATGAGAGTTGTTTCAACTCCAAATCAGGTGGTGATTCTATGGATGGGGTGAAGTCTTTTTGCTCATTATTTTCTAGCAGCTCAAATGCTGCAGCATCCACTGGGACAATATCAGTTCCTAATTCCTCTATTTCCTCAACATTTTTCTCTTCTATTTCTTCATCATACTCTCCTTCCAACTTAAGGCTTTTCTGAATTCCTTCTTCCAAACACATCTCTTCTATCTCAGATATTCTTGAACACTCTTCCAAGTAATCAGGGTACTTTAGAGAGTTGAAGACATTAGAGGTGACTTTCTGGTCTTGGACTCTCATAGTCAATTCTCCTTTTTGGACGTCTATCAAAGTTATTCCGGTGGCTAGAAATGGTCAATGTCATTATCCGCCTCAAAATCTAGAATGATAAAGTCCGCCGGAAATATGAACTTGTCAACTTGTACCAAAACATCTTCAATTTTCCCTTTAGGATATGCTATGGACTTGTTGGCCAATTGGAGTGTGACTGTGGTCAGTCTAGTTTCTCTTATGCCTAGGGTGTTGAAAACAGACAAGGGCATAAGGTTGATACTAGCTCCTAAGTCACATAGGGCTTTCCCTATCTCCTTCCCTCCTATTGAACAATGAATGGTAAAACTCCCTGGATCTTTTAGCTTAGGGGGTATGTTATTGGTCAAAAACGCACTACATCCTTCGGTTAGGGCTACTGTCTCATATTCAGTCAACTTCTTCTTCTTGCTTAGGATGTCCTTCAGAAACTTGGCATAACTMGGCATTTGCTCAATTGCCTCAACAAACGGGATGTTGATGTGCAATTCTTTAAACACATCCAAGAATTTTTTTAAAGTGCAGTTCCTCTTTTTGATTCCTCAACCTTTGGTGTAGGGAACATAAGGAGGGACTGGCTTTATCACATTCTTACTTGGATGAGTTGAGCAAGACGGGTTTTGAGTGCCTTGGGTCTTTGTGGTGCCTTTTGGAGGTTCAGATGAAATTTTAACATCAAGCTTAGGGGTTTTTATAACCTCAGTTTCTTTTGAATTTTTTAGAGCATCCTCAGGAAAGAGTAATGGAAAGTCTGATCTAGGGGGGACAGAAGTGGTGGTCTCTAATGCCTGTTTCTCTAAGGGTAGGACCGGTCTTTCTTTGGCAGGAACCAATGTTGTAGCATCAGCTTCTGTCAAAATTGGTGCACTATCTTTGGGCACTTTTTCTTTCAACTCCTTTCCACTCCTAAGGGTCATTACTTTCACATGTTCCTTACCTAGGTCTCTAGGGACCTCTGTATTACTGGGCAAGGTACCAAGGGCTCGATTGTTCTGGTTAAGCGCAAGTTGACTGACTTGAGTCTTTAAATTCCTGATGGCCGCACTTTGTTGATTTATTAAAGCTTGGTTTTGTGCTTGTGCATGTGCAAAGAGTCCTTTAATCATTGCTTCCAAAGAAGATGATTCTGACTATGGAGGAGGTTTATTCTGAAAAGGTTGTTGTAAATTCTGAAAACTTTGTTGGTGATTCTGAGAGTTAGAACTGTTTCCATGATGTTGTGGTTGGAAATTAGAAGTTCCTTGTTGTTTATGGACTGGTGGGTTTAAACTGGGACTGTTCCAAGAAAAGTTCGGATGCTGTTTCCAGCTGGCATTATAGGTATTGGAATAGGGATTAGCTCAGTTATGAACATAGTTTACTGATTCAGCATTGTGAGGACAGTGTTCATACGAGTGTTCTCCGCCACAGCACACACATTGCACAGATAGGACTGTTTGGACTGGTGTATTAGCAGCTTGTTGTCCTCCCTGACTGGAAGTTAAATTTTTCAACATGTTGGTCATGAGGTAAGCTGGGCTGTTAATACAGTATATGCATCTACATCATGTATCCCCGCAGTCTTTTTTTGTGACTGAGCGCGTAGGTGGGCCCAATGCCCATTGTTTGCCGAAATCTTTTCTAGGATTTCATATCCTTCATTATAGGTCATAGATGTAAAGGCTCCGCCCGCAGTCGCATCGAGCATTTGTTTTGCCATGGGATTTAACCCATTGTAAAACGTCTCGAGTTGAATACAGTACGAAATGTCATGGTGTGGGCATTTTCTCAACAGCTCTTTGAACTTTTCCCACGCGTCTGGACTTAGCGTTCCTTGTCAGCGGGAAATATTTTCGCAAAAATATTTCCGCCATGTTACTCCATGACGGCACAGAACCCGGAGTTAATGAGTTAAACCATGTTTTTCCCCGATCCCTCAAGGAAAATGGAAACAAAGTGAGCCTTATAGAAACCCCTAAGCTTGATGCTAAAATTTCATCTGAACCTCCAAAAGGCACCACAAAGACCCAAGGCACTCAAAACCCGTCTTGCTCAACTCATCCAAGTAAGAATGTGATAAAGTCAGTCCCTCCTTATGTTCCCTACACCAAAGGTTGAGGAATCAAAAAGAGGAACTGCACTTTAAAAAAATTCTTGGATGTGTTTAAAGAATTGCACATCAACATCCCGTTTGTTGAGGCAATTGAGCAAATGCCKAGTTATGCCAAGTTTCTGAAGGACATCCTAAGCAAGAAGAAGAAGTTGACTGAATATGAGACAGTAGCCCTAACCGAAGGATGTAGTGCATTTTTGACCAATAGCATACCCCTTAAGCTAAAAGATCCAGGGAGTTTTACCATTCCTTGTTCAATAGGAGGGAAGGAGATAGGGAAAGCCCTATGTGACTTAGGAGCTAGTATCAACCTTATGCCCTTGTCTGTTTTCAACACCCTAGGCATAGGAGAAGCTACACCGACCACAGTCACACTCCAATTGGCCAACAAGTCCATAGCATATTCTAAGGGAAAAATTGAAGATGTTTTGGTACAAGTTGACAAGTTCATATTTCCGGCGGAATTTATCATTCTAGATTTTGAGGCGGATAAGGACATTCCTATTATTTTAGGAAGACCATTTCTAGCCACCGGAAGAACTTTGATAGACGTCCAAAAAAAGAGAATTGACTATGAGACTCCAAGACCAGAAAGTCACATTTAATGTCTTTAACTCTCTAAAGTACCCTGATTACTTGGAATAGTGTTCAAGAATATCTAAGATAGAAGAGATGTGTTTGGAAGAGGGAATTCAGAAAATCCTTAAGTTGGAAGGAGAGTATGATGAGGAAATAGAAGAGGACAGTGTTGAGGAAATAGAGGAATTAGGAACTGATGTTGTCCTAGTGGATGTTGCATCATTTGAGCTGCTAGAAAATAATGAGCAAAAAGACTTCACCCCGTCCATAGAATCACCACCTGATTTGGAGTTGAAACAACTCTCATCCCATCTAAAATATGATTTTCTAGGAGAAGAAGGCAAATTGTCTGTCATTATCTCATCTACCCTAGTATTGCATCAAGAAAAAAAACTTGTGGATATGTTGAAATTGCATAAGAAAGCCTTAGGATGGACCATTGCTGACCTTAAAGGGATTAGTCCCTCTATTTGTCAACACAAGATCATCCTAAAAGATAAAAATTTCACTTCCATAGAACCCCAACGAAGGCTAAACCCKRTCATGAAAGAGGTAGTCAAAAAGGAGATTTTAAAATGGTTAGATGCCGGAATTATTTTTCCGATAGCAAGTAGTTCTTCGATTAGTCCGGTCCAATGTGTTTCAAAAAAAGAAGGGTTCACAGTCATCACAAATGACAAAAATGAATTTATCCCTACTAGAGTTGTCTCCGGTTGGAGAATATGCATGGACTATAGGAGACTAAACAAGGCTACCCAAAAAAATCATTTTCCACTACCTTTCATTGACCAAATGTTGGATAGGCTAGCCAGAAAGGAGTTCTATTGTTTCTTGGATGGTTATTCAGGATACAATCAAATAGCCATTTCTCCGGAAGACCAAGAGAAAACCACCTTTACTTGTCCATATGGCACATTTGCTTTCAGAAGAATGTCATTTAGACTTTGTAATGCTCCAGCCACCTTTCAAAGGTGTATGATGTCCATCTTTTCTGATATGCTTGAAAAATCTATCGAAATATTTATGGATGATTTTTCTGTGTATGGTTCATCATTTGACAATTGTTTAAATAATTTGAAAAAGAGCTTTGAAATGTGTGAGGAAACAGACTTGGTCTTTAATTGGGAGAAATGTCATTTCATGGTCAAAGAAGGAATTGTTCTTGGACACTTGATTTCAAAAAGAGGGGTTGAGGTAGATAAGGCAAAGNCGAACCTACCACGATTAAGGGAATCAGAAGCTTTTTGGGTCATGCCGGATTTTATAGAAGGTTTATCAAAGATTTTTCTAAAATTTCAAAACCTCTTTGTTTACTCCTCCAGCATGACCAAAAATTCAATTTTAATGATGAATGCAGAAATGCATTCAAAACTTTGAAAAAAGCTTTGGTTACCGCACCAGTAGTAGTTGCCCCGGATTGGAACAAATCTTTTAAGATCATGTGTGACGCTAGTGATTGGACGGTAGGTGTTGTACTAGGACAAAGGAAAGACAAGGTGTTTCATTCAATCTACTACGCAAGTAAGATTTTGAATGAAGCACAAATTAGTTACACCACAACTGAGAAAGAATTATTGGCCATAGTTTTTGCTTTTGAAAGATTTAAGTCCTACTTGATGGGAACAAAGGTAATTGTGCATACCGATCACTCAGCCATCAAGTACCTAATTTCAAAGAAAGATGCAAAACCTAGGTTAATAAGATGGGTGCTTTTATTGCAAGAGTTTGACTTAGAGATACTTGATAGAACGGGGGTAGAGAATCAAGTTGCGGACCATTTGTCTAGGTTGGAAGAACCCGAGAAAGGAGGAATGGAGATTAGTGATACTTTTCCGGATGAAAGAATCCTCTTGATTGACCAACCAAAAACACCATGGTTTGCAGATTTAGCTAATTTCTTGGCTTGTGGAATAAAACCCTCTGATTACATAGGCCACATGTTGAAAAAATTCTTTCATGTTGCTAAATCATATTTGTGGGATGACCCATTTTTGTTTAGACTTGGTGCAGATCTAATTTTGAGAAGATGCGTGCCCGAAACTGAATTGGCAGCAATCCTGCAGCATTGCCATCATGCACCATACGGAGGCCATTTTGGAGGCCAAAGAACTGCAACCAAACAACCAAAGTCTTACACCCTTGCTTCTTTTATATTTTATGTATTCTGTTTTGGATCACCTTACAATCAAAGAAAAGTTTTCAAAATCGCCATTTGAAATCATCTCTTTCATTGGACTTTAATCTAACTTTGGCTACAATCCATGTGGACGATAATCCGGTACTTGTACCACTTTATTACTTGGAAAGACGACATTAGGCCGTATTGTATACTTGCTTTGTGGCCGAATTTCATTAGTCTAAAGATGTGAAATATAACCGACCAATGACATCTTAAAACCATCACTGACTACTTTCTGTTTTTCAGTGATAAAATGTTTAAAATAGAGTTTTCAGTACCTTTTAACTGAATGACTCTTCATATTCTTAAAAACTATTTTTGTTTTTAAACGAAAATAAATGCATCGTCTTTATGACGACATTCTCTGTTTACTATGAGCGACGCTTTGAGACGCGCAAAATGACCTGTCATTACGCTACCTCATTAAATGTCATCCAATCGTGGATGAGAACGTGACATATTTTTCATTATGACCACTTTCCCGAACCGTCTTCTTTTTCTTTCTCATATTTCTTATCTCTCCTCTTACCTATAAATATGAGATTTCTTCTTCACTTTTCTCTTTACGCTTTCAAAATCCTTAGACGAACTTCTGCTAA